GTCACGTATTACGTTTCCTTAATCCAACCAAATAGTTTATTTTCCTAAATTCAACAAAATATTTCAGGTTTCTAAAACTAATCAAATCATCTAGGTGACAAAACATAATAAAACATTTTTGGATTTTAAATTTAAAGTGGCAGTTCATGTTCAGAGATCGGACTGGCGCGGATCTGTGTTTGGCAGCACTCGATCATGGAAAACACCTGTGTGTGACACTCCCTGTTCTTTAGTCTAGTTTCACCTGACTGTCAATGACTGTCATCAATGTATCAAATATTCAAATAAATTCATATTTGGTATTCATGATATTATGTTCTTGACCAATTCTGACAATTGAACAGACAGTTGTGCAGGCGAGTACTTATACAATGAAATCATGCCGACATGTTTTGGAGAGAATGGTCATTAGACTGAGAATAAACTGATCAGTTTAAATCTACGAGATCTATTCATTTGGAGAATGTGCTAAATGTGGGCTAACTGTTTAACTGTAGGCTACATGTATTTAATCATTTGCAAAGATGCACTGAGACAATTGAAACATGTACTAAGGCATTTGCCATTTGATAAAATGAATGACAAAATGCCATTCTGTTGTGAACATTTGCCAAGAGGTTTGGAGGTTTGTCCATGTTATTTTGAGAATGTAATTTCTGTTTCAAGAAATGAGCCAAACCAATGGAGAAAAACTGTAAAAAACATTATAGTAAATGTTGTTACTTGTAGAGCAGAAAGCATGTGACCTTGGTGTGAATGCAATGCTGATGCTAGTTTTCTGGCGCCGTCGTTTCCACATCTCCTCAGGGTCTTGTGTCTGCCGATGACGTCATCATACTACGGCAATACCACTCGGCCAAAATCTATTGCATCTCTGTTCTTTCGCATGTGCTTAGTAAAGAGTTTAGCAGTTTTGTTATTAAATTCATGTTTCTTACTGCCTAAATGTTTTTGAACATGGTAACATAACTTCTGTAAGTTGTACATCCAGCCAATCATCTAGCGTGACGTCATCAACAGGCGCAGGACCCCGAGCCAGCCAGAAGGAACTATGGTGTCTAATTTAGTTTAGACCTGATTTTTATGGTTGTATGGCCAAAGCTGCTAATATTTTTCATTGACTGAAAATCATTGTAGTCATTTTCAACAATATTTCAATGGATATTTCTAGAGATTATTGGTAAAACCTATTCACTGTCTCTTTAAGCATGCAGTTGGGATTTCTAGACTTTTGTCTTCAATATCACAAAAATCTATGGCATTTGATGTTGGTAGCATTCACTGCAGCTACTGCATCAAACACTAATGCCATAGGACACCCAATGTGTTTTGTGGAGAACCCAGGGGTTCTGACAAACTGACAGCATTTAATGAGAGAAAGGAACAGGTATGGTTTGCAGCTTCAGGTTTTAAAAGTGCAGTCTGCTTAATTTTTACCAGACCAAAAAAAAAAAGAAAGACATTTAAGCAGCATGTCAAGTTTGCATTGCTTTCTGGGATACGAGCGAGTGAATAATGAACTGATCTGGACTAGAGAACCCAAACTACAGCTGTGAAAACTCAGCATTTCAGACCTGACATCTGTGAAAAACATTACATGCCTGCACAGAATCACCTTTGCAGATAGAGTTGTTGTATAATGCACAGCTGTATTACTATAAATGCTTCTGAATACTTTGCTCCTGACTGCTGTGAGCAGCGGAAAGGACTATGTTGGACCATGTTTACCACGGGGGGAAAAGAGAAGGGTAAGGCAGGGCAGTGTGGGAGAGAAACATGCTGGGGTGACACAGTAATTATAGATGTGGGGATCCTTCTTAGGCAGGCAAGAGGAATATGGCTCCAGAGGAGGATAGAAAAAGGATGATGAAGAGGTGAAGGGCATAGGGATGATAGGAAACAAGATAAAAGCAATGTTTTCTCTCCATCACAGACACAGTCTCCCCCCATTCATTCACCCCTTCCCCCATCTGCCTTTTACCCCCTCAGGAATCTGTCCATTCCCTCCTCCTCCTGCTGCTACTTCCCCCACCCCTGTTTTTCCTCATCCTCCTTTTGAGCTTGTGGATGGCACTCTACCACAGTGCCAGCCCTCTCTTTTTCTCTCTCTCTCTCTGACTGCATGTGCAGTCATGTATCAGGTCAGGGACATGCGATGTTCAAAGCGCATGTGTGTGAGTGCATTGAAAAGCAACGTTTAAGGAGGACAATGAGGGAGCTACTAGAGCTGCTCTGCATTGTGAGTATGGGGGTATGAGTATGTGTTTGTGTGTTTATTGATTCTGTAGCAGTGAATTAGAGAGGGTGAGTGCTAGTGTGTTTGTGAAGTAATGACCATCATTACCCCTTTGGTAAACGTCATGTCAGGTCACATGGATGGAGGTTTCGTGTTTTGTTCCTCTGAAGGCTCTTGAAACGTTTAGTTTATTTTAGCGTAAAATCTGTTGTATTTTCTTCTTCTCTTGTGCAGATTTGAGTTTAACCTCAGGCTGTGGGTCACGTGCTTGTGGGTTATTTTTAATTTTTCAGCATGTGCTCATTTGTTGTGTACAGCATTGCTTTATGTGCTCGCAGTGTGACAGTGTTTTCTGGATATCTGGTGTAATAAAGGTGACAGGACATTGTTATGGTACCCTATGAGCTCAAGTAATATTTAACATCAGTAAAGGCTGTCATTTTACCTCAGGTAAAGACAAAAAAAAAACATTATGAACTCACTAAAGCCAGAATTGTCATAAAAACTAAAAGTAACTCTGTAAAGGACAATACCAAGGAAAATTAATTGGGCTAATTAATAACTTTAAATTCGGTAGGATAGTATTTCAGTTTAACAGAAAAGTGTGTTGTTATTATTATTATCATTATTATTATTATTATTATTATTATTATTATTATTATTATTATTATTATTATTATTATTATTATTATATAAAAATCTGAAACACACTCTTTGTTAGTGGAAAATAATACTATAATTAAAAACTATAAATAAAAAATATTTTGAACATTGTGGAACATGTATGTTTCTTTAACCCTCCCACTGTCCTAATGGGTGTGACCCCGCGAGGAAAGTTGACCATTGAGCAGGATTGATGGTTTATCCCTTCAGGTCCATGTGGCAGGGGTGAGGTGGTGCTCACTCCTCACCCCTGCCACATGGACCCAAGGAATAAACCATCAGAACTGCTCAATGGTCGACTTTCCTCGCGGGGTCACCCCCATTAGGACAGTGGGAAGGTAAAAAAAATATTTAAAATAGCCATTAATGGTGGTTATCTCATTTCAGTGATTAGTTGCTAAAAAGTGCTGAACACTGAAAAAACATTTTTTAAAGATTTTTTTCTGATTATAACCAGCCATTTACACTTATCTCCTGCATTAGCTTCTGATAGAAAATAATCATCGAAACGCTAGGATTTGAAAAGCCTGACAGATCTACAAGTCCACTGTCACTTGGCCTTACCCATGTTGGCTCGCGAGGGGGAAGGGTGTTGTTTTAGCGCCCATAATCAGCAGATAACGTCTCGGCTAGCAGAAGCTAATCGTTAGCATTAGCACTCAATCACACAGCAGAACATAACAGGCTTGTGGTATTTTGGAGAAAAAACATCCATGTCACAGAGCAGAGTTAGTGGTTATCCAGTCTGAGGAAAGATGTCCAAATATGAGGAAATAGGACTCTTAATCCTGCCGTGTTAAGCTCTCCTCTGATGCTGCAGACTTGTCCCTGCCACAGGCATTTGTGGGCTTTTTGTGCCCTGAGTATGGGCTGCAAGGCATTCATTCTGACTAGAGACCACTGCAAATGTATTGATCAAACGATCAAATGAGTGTTTATTTTAGAAAGGAATACATTGGCAAACTAGCTAGCAACCGATTGGAGCAAGTGTGAAATAAATAGTAATGGTTTTAAATACAAAATGGGATTTCTTTGCACTACTTTAGTCAGTTTATGTTTATGCTAGCCTTGACTTACACAACATGACAATGGAAACACTATTTGTTTATTTAGTATCACATGGCTTTTTAATGAGACACTATAAAATCTCATAAACTCATAGAAATGTTTGTTTTTGTGTTTTTCATTGCAGGACATAAACAAACGTTTGTCTCTCCCAGCTGATATCAGACTACCGGAGGGCTACGTGGAGAAGTTTGCAATGAACAGCCCTCCCTTTGATAAACCCATGAGCCGCAGGCTTCGACGTGCATCACTGGTCAGTGCACACTATTACAGTGGTTTACTTTAAGTGGGTGGTTGTGCTAGTTGGTAAAAACTAGCCGCTTTGGTCCATATGTTCAGTTTTCAGCTGTATGCATGCTGCTTTATTTGATGCTGCGTTGTCTGAAAGCAAAACTAAGATGAACTTTCAGAGATCATTGAAAAGGGTTGATTGAGGCCCATATAACAATCACACAATACAACGATCTAAACCAGCTTTAAACACAAAAGACTTATGCTATAAAGCGTACAATCACCCAGCATGATATATTCTGATTTATGCATCCAGCACAATAGCATTATGGGTATAAAAGGAGGAGCACAGGGGATAGGAGCGACTCACTGCTGGGTGCATAAAGCAGGGGGTGATGGGAAGATGGGAAGAATAGGAAAATTATCTTCAAAATGAAACATGTTTTTGTGCCATGCACCTCTTTACTGATTAGGCACCCGTTATCTATACCTTATTTAACATTTAGCTTTTGGCTGCGCAGTGGTTAGAGCTGTTGCCTTGTAGCAAGAAGGTCCTGGGTTCGCTTCCCGGCCTGGAATCTTTCTGCATGGAGTTTGCATGTTCTCCCTGTGCATGCGTGGGTTCTCTCCGGGTATTTCGGCTTCCTTCCACAGTCCAAAATCTTGACTGGCCGGTTAATTGGTCTGTCTAAATTGTCCTTAGGTGTGAGTGTGTGTGTGCATGATTGTTTGTCCTGTGTGTCTCTGTGTTGCCCTGCGATGGACTGGCTCTCTGTCCAGGGCGTACCCCACCTGACTACCCGTTGACCGCTGGAGATAGGCACCAGCACCCCCCGCGACCCTGCGTGGACAAAGCGGGTTCAGAAAATGGATGGATGGATGGAACATTTTGCTTTTACCTTCACCTTTCCCTCTCCGCAGTGCACTCCTTTGTTTCATTTACCCCATCTAAAATTTGCTCTGAGTAAAATCAAATTCACTGAGGCAGACTGAATTTGTCCTTTAAACAAGAGTACCGAAAGCCTTTTACATTCTGGAGCATTTGCCCTCTATCGACCATATTTGCTGTAATTATTTAAAAAGGCCGGTCCTCTTGCATCTCTGCTTGGAGCCATTTAGCAGTGCAGCCTTCCTGCATGGGTCTTTTTAGGGAAAAAAAAACATATTGTAGTAATCTGAGAAAGATGATCATCAGTGGAGTGGTTCTGAGATAAATGAGTGGTATGGACTTGGTCTTTCTTGGGTCTATCCACCAGGGTGTATCTTTGGTTCTTCAATGTGTGTGATGTAATAGACTGATAAATAATTCAGCAGCAGTGTCAGACTCATCTGCCGCAGCTTCTCCGCTGAATAGGATCTCACTCCAGGACACCTTGAAGGGAGCTGGTGAGCAGAGCTGAGGAGAAGAAAAGATACAGAGGATATAAGAGGAGAATGTAAAGGCCAAAACTAGAATGATGTCACCGTTTTTACAGAAGTTAGCCAAGCACAGTTACATTTTCCAGAACATAAATTATGTAAAAGTATGAATGTATTTATGTTAAGCTTGTGTAATAAGTAGAGTAGGCTAGATCACAATGAGGTGCTTTAATTAACCTGCCTGGTCTTTTAGAAAACACTGACGGTGTGTATCTTTGACATTATTTTCCACAGTTTTTATTTCAAAGGCGTATTTAAAAATGTCTGAACTTATAACAGCCTTGTTATTGGAATGATCTTTGGTCTTCTGGCATGTTTTACGTTTGTCGTCGTATAGTAGACACGTGTCTGGTGTCACACAACAGATGCTTACACTTGAAACCGTGTATTTTGATCACCGAATCGTCTCCCATGTAATGCAAGTGAAACTGGTCGGGATCAGTTTTCGGTCATGGCCGTTTCCCACTAATAGTCAATAATTCAGAACAGTTCAATGAGAGTTGGTGGTCCGTGGTGGAGTGAGATGAGCAGATCTTTTATCTCAAAGAGCTCCACTTGATCATGTTATTCACACTTTACTGTAATGTTTGTACCAACACAGAGACAAATATTTAAACTAACAGTCTTTAAGATTTTAGTTGTTATGCTTTTTTAAAGGTCAAGCTGTGGAAGGAAGGTTGATATTTCTTGTCTTGAGACACTAAATGTGCTTTAGTTATTGTAATTGGGGTTTGGAAATGGTTTGTGCAATTGCTATAGCTGTTAAAGTCCTTTTAAGAAAATGTCTTCAGGCTTTCTGAATGCATCTGCAAATAAATTAGGCATTGATAGATAATGCGAGCAAATGGAAAGCTCTTCCTGCATCCAAACGATTCAAACTGCATCCTCACTGTCTAGTCATGGCTTCCTAGTGCTCCTTCTTTTGAATGTTTTTAACAATTCCTTCACCACTGCTTGCCAAATTAAACCATTCATACACGGCTCATGTTAAAACATCCATCATTGTTCCAAAGTGATCCAAAGTGACATAGGTGTACTGGTCATTCGTGGTTATTGGGCATGTTTAAATAAATAATGGTTACCATGTAACATGTATTTTGGTTGGTTAATTACTGCTTTTAGTGCGGGTAATTTCCTTTTATGAAAAGGTCTTCCTTTGCTCCTAACTGTCATTATGAACCTCTCAATAACTTTTTGTGCCATTCTGAAAACTCTCAATGCAGCTTTCACGCTTTCTCACAAGCAAATGTATTTGCAGACAAAATAAAAGAAAATAATTCACTACTCCCTGCTTTAGCGCTACCTATAAGTAAGTCTCTTCAGTGCTTACACAGACGTAGATAAAACACACACTCATATTGTTCTGCTTGCTGTTGCTTTAATTTTGTCTCTAAAACTTGGTCTGACCTAGTTTCGCTGAGTAAGCTCATTGGAGCAGTTGGAAAGAAATGAACCCGTTGCCATTGAAAGCATACACAAGTGCACACACACTCACAATGTAAGTATGCACATGAAAAAAAGCCCCAAGGTACTCAGGGAGTACACCATTAGGAGAAAGACCACATGCAAAAAAGGATTTCCAGTTCTTTGCTTTAGAGACCTTTGAAAGCCAAATTGTACAGAAATTTTGATGTGAGGAGATTGGGGATACGTTTGTGTTTTTCTGAGTGAGTGTCAGGGTGTGTTTTGCTCATGAGACTGACTCCTTGACTAAAAGCAGCATAGCTCAGCAATACTTCCTGACAGCCACTGTCACTGACCCAGAGAAGGGAGCAGCATGTTCAAGTATGAGTTATTTTTTTTCTGTAATTGTGTGAGAGACATTTTTAGTTATCTGACATATTTGTGGAGACTAAAATGTTGGAGTTGGGGTTCAGTAATTCAGTTTTTTTATGTTTAAGGAGCTCAAAATGTTGTATGTTGTTGACTGTTTAGTAGTGATGCACCGATGTGAAATCCTTGGGCCGATTTCAATATTAATATTACTGTTATGACCGATATTTGCTGATACCGATATTCTTCTAAAAACAGCAGATTTTATATAGAATGAAAATGATTAAAGCTGAATTTACGTTATTATGTACACATAACACACACATTTATGGTTCTGAGAGGATTTCATTCACTGTTCACATGACTAAACAATTACATATCACCCTCCTCGCACTCTGAAACTGGCAAACAAATGGAGACAAGATGGAAAAAATATTGGTTGTTAATATCGGCCCAGTTTTATTTATCGAACCGATACCGTAATGTTAAAAAAATGACTAACATCGGCCGATACCGATATTGATGCCAATATATTGTCCATCCGTACTATTTAGGTATGAGCTTAAGCTCTCTCTATGGGTCGTGGTCAGACTTTAGGGGTATTCAATTCTGGGTCTGGACGGCTGGCATCCAGCACTTTTGAGTGGTTTCTTCTCTCTAACACACTAGATTCGGTGCTTGAATCACCTGCGCAGCAGTTCATTAGGCTCTGCAGAAGCATGTTAGTTACCTGCTGATTGAAATCAGATGTGTTTAAACAGAGTTAAAACCAAATCGTGCTGGATACCGGCCCTTCAGGCCCAGAATTAAATACCCCAACGGATGGCTTGCCAGGCTAATTCTATGCAGGTGTTAACCTAAATATGCTCTTCCTTTTTCATCACTTTAGAATTGTCTTTCATGAAAAAATGCACATAACCAGTTTCAAAACCAGTTGATTCAAATCCACAGATTCATATATGAGTTAAATTGATCACTCACATGAAACTGGCCACACCAATGCTTTTTTCTAAAGGTGCTTCTGATGCACTGTTTTAGGTATCCCTTTAAAGAGATCACATGCTTCATGAATTAAGTTGGTCACTGTAGCACACCCCCCCCCCCCCCCCCCCCACACACACACACACACAATAGAAGTGATGAGGTAGACAAACATGCTTAAAATATCTGTGAGACTGAACAATAAGTGAGAGCATGTGACAGAGGAATAACCGCAGCTTTTACAGCTTGACTTAGAAACATCTAATCTATAATTCATGGCCTGGAGACCCAGGAGTGACATAAATTATAAAACTCAACCTGATGGGTGTTAACTGAATCAGGATCAGGTAAGAATTTACTCAGAAAAACACAGATGTTGAGGATGGCTTCTGGATAACTGTAGAAGTGTTAGAAAATGAACGTGCATTCTTAATTTTGTTGTATTCAACTGTTACTCATATTGTGTGAAACATCAGTATTTGAGCACCCTGCAATTTTACAAGTTCTCTCACTTAGAAATCATGGTGCAGTCCAGCATTTAAAAAATTCAGGAAATCACATTGTGTGATTTTTAAAAATAATATTTAATTTGAATTGCACTGCTGTAACACCCAAGAACATCTGTGTTGTACAGAAGCTGTTGTTTGTAATTACAGTTTCCTGTAGTTCTTGACCAGGTTTGCACTCACTGCATCAGGGATTTAGGCCCACTCCTCCACACAGATCTCTACTATCTGTCAGATTTCAAGGCTGTCGCTAAGCAACATGGTGTTTGAGCTTCCTCCAAAGATTTTCTATCGGATTAAGGTCTGGAAACTGGCTAGGACAAGGACCTTGATATGCTTCTTACGGAGCCACTCCTTGGTATCCTGGTTGTGTGCTTCAGGTCAGTGTCATGTTGGAAGACTACAATCATTCTTCAATGCTCTGGCTGAGGGAAGGAGGTTGTTGCTCAAAATCTTGCAATACATGGCCCCATCATCATCTCCTTAATACAATGCAGTTCCCCTGTCCCCCTTCACAGGAAAGCACCCCCAAAGCATGATGTTTCCACCACCATGCTTTCCAGTAGGGATGGTGTTCTTTGGGTGCAAATCCCTTTTTTTTCCCCTCCAAACACAGTGAGTGGAGTTTTGACCAAAATGATCCAAATTGGTCTAATTTGACAGCATGACCATCTCCCATGGCTCCTCTGGATCATCCAGAAGGTCATTAATAAACTTCAGATAGGCCTGGACATGTGATGACTTGAGCAGAAGAACCTTCTGTGAAGTACATGATTTAAAAACATGATGGCCTAGTGTTCTACTGACAGTGACCGCTGAACCTGTGGTCCCAGCTCACTTTGTGTCGTTGACCATCTCCTCCCTCCATAGGCTGATTTCTAACCTTTATGATCCTCAGTGATACCCACCAGGTGAGATCTGGCATGGAGTCCCCGTCTGAGGGAGACCGACAGTCTTTAGCCTCTTCCATGTGTTTTCACCACACTGCTTAGCAAGTGTCCAGTAGCGCTTTCCAGTTGAATGGAGGTCCACAGTTTTGTCTCTGGTGTCTTTTGACAGCTCTTTGGGGGTGTCTTTAACAATATCAAACAGATGCTACTAATTCAGATTAATAAATGGAGTCTAGGTTTTTTTTAAAGACAGATTAACAGGTTTTTGAGAGCCAGAAATCATGCTGATTGTCAGGTATTCAAATTCTTATGTGCAGCACTGCAATACACATAATTTCTTTTCAAATCACACAATCTGATTTCTGGATTTTTTTTAAATGCTGTCTCTCACAGTGGGAATGCACCTGTAGTGTGAATTTCAGAAAAACTTTCAAAGTAGCAGGGTGTTTAAATACTTATTTTCCCCGCTGTAGTTCATGTGTGAACTGATTCAACAAGATCTTCATACACTGAGTGAGATTGTATATTAAAAGTAAACTGATGGACAATCAAAAGCTGCGATTTAGTCAATTATTAATAGAAGATTATCTTAGATTTGAACATTGGCATGAAAGGAAATGGGTGATTGGTCAAAGGAAAAATAGACCCATTGTTAAAATTTGTGTTAGTCCTGCATTAAATATGGACGCCTGCATATTTGTGAAATCACAGTGATCTTTTCTGTTCTTCTCTAGTCTGAAATAGGCTTTGGGAAACTTGAGACTTACATCAAACTGGACAAACTAGGCGAGGTGAGATCAGTAACTACAATCAGATTGATGGACATTCTGTTTGCTTATTTTTTTTCCAAACGTGTGCTTTCCATTCACCACAGGGTACCTATGCTACAGTGTTTAAAGGCCGAAGCAAGTTAACAGACAATTTAGTGGCTCTGAAAGAGATTCGCCTGGAGCACGAAGAGGGCGCGCCCTGCACAGCCATCCGAGAAGGTACTGAACTCCTACCTGCAGGTTTGCCGCTCCGGTCATCACAGGATCGTCGGCTAGCAGTGCCTACACCACGCTCAGGACAATCCAGGCTCTTCTCATGCATCATTCCACAAATGTGGAATGACCTATCAAGCACTACCAGAACAGGGGCTTCCTTTTCAATTTTCAAGAAACTCCTGAAGACCCCGCTCTTCAGAGAGCATCTTCCAAACTAGCGCCCGCCCTGCAAACCCCCCCCCACTGTCCACTCCTTGTTCCCTCCTTTCCATGATTGATGTCAAGTTGTTGTTGTTATTGTTGTTGTTAGCCTCAAGGGCAACATGCCAATTATCACTTGTAAGTCGCTTTGGACAAAAGCGTCTGCTAAATACATAAACATAAACATTGCATGTGTCACATTTTAGTTTGCGGGATGACCTATGAACTGTGTTGCTACTTGCTTGATAATATCTGCTGTGTCTCCTCCTTCAAGTATCACTACTGAAAGACTTGAAGCACGCTAATATCGTCACTCTCCATGACATCATCCACACTGACAAGTGCCTGACTCTTGTGTTTGAGTATTTGGTAAGTATGGCTGATACCTCATGATGTACGTCAGTCATAGTGCATAAATTACTATAATCTGCATAATATAACATGTGTTTGTGTCTTTTCACCAGGAAAAAGATCTCAAGCAGTATATGGACGACTGTGGGAGCATCATGAGTGTTCATAACGTCAAGGTACTTTCTGTCCATCTACTGGTATATGTGCTTTGATTGCTGCGTTTCAGATGTTTTTACTGCACCAACGATCAAAATTGTCCCTCTTGTCTCTTCAGATTTTCCTCTTCCAGCTTTTAAGAGGACTAGACTACTGCCATAAAAGGAAGGTTCTCCACAGAGACCTAAAACCCCAAAACCTGCTTATCAACGATAAAGGAGAGCTCAAACTAGCAGATTTTGGTAAATCAGTATTTAAATCTTTTGTTTCATTCATGAAGCACCCTTTCTGTTTAAAATAGCTCATATGATAGAACTGCATCTGATTGTATTTTAGTGATTTGCCAAATTCTTCTAAACAATGATTAAAAATACTGTTGAACTAATTGAAAAAAAAGTTATCAAGATATTTATTATATGACTTATTTCCTATTCAAAGCTGCTAAAGCGAATCTACAGACTAAGCTAGGTTTTGAACGCAAACACGGTCACTGATTACTCACCCCTCCCCTTGGGTATCTTTCCCAAGACGCTTCTGCCAGAACCGGAAACCAGCATAACCAGCGGAAACGAGAAAGCGTCCAAATGTGTTTGGCTGTCCTTAACATCAAATGGTGTTTTTCTTTTTGGGACTCTGATAATTTGTCCTAAAGTTCAAGTGGTAGCAGTCAGCGGTTTCTCCTTCTCAGACGTTATTGAGGGATGAACCTCTCACACCATTGGTCCAGTAGTTGCTTTCGGGCCAGCCGTGTTATTGGCAGATGTTTTTAGGACCCCTTTTCTCATTAAAAAAAATATCCACAACATATTTATAGCTGTACTATGTTAGAACATTGTTAAAAGGCACAACAAATTTTAAGCTAGCTTGTTTTCCAAATCAGCTATACCAGCTTTAACATTATTTTATTAGTTCTTGGTATTTTGGTGCAATTCTATTTTCCTATTAGTGTCAGAATAGTAAGTAAACTTTAGGTGTTTATTGGACCCAACAGTACAGCTTAGCTCTGGTAACTTAATTATGACAGACTGATCAAATTCCAACTAGCTTAGCATTAGGCCTGTATATGACCCTAAATGGGCATTACATCACTGACCTAATACTGCCCTCTGCTGGTAAAACTCAAAATGGGATCCACATTAAAAATCCCAAAATTTGAATGAAATGACATGTTCCTCTTACTAATTTCAAACATAGTGTGCACATGTCTAAAAATGCTTCTTTCAGAAACCACACAATGACTAAAAATGTCCTGATGACCATTTTTATTTTAATTTAACTTCCAACGCCACAAAAACACTGGCGATGTAATAACACGTTTCTATCTTTTTTATTTTTAAAACAATAGGCCTAGCTCGAGCCAAGTCTGTCCCTACGAAGACGTACTCAAATGAAGTTGTAACACTATGGTACCGACCTCCAGATGTGCTGCTGGGCTCAACGGAGTACTCTACACCCATTGATATGTGGTAAGAATGGACATACTGCAAAAACAATCAGCAGCACGTCTTCTTGTTAACACTCTAATTGTCTCTAAAATTCAGTTTCATAAGTGTAACACCAGCTCTTATTGAGACTGGACGGGGAGCTCCCCCAGATGGATGTATGTAACAGAGGCAAAATGTATCCATTACATTAGCTAAGGCACAAAAATACATTTGCTTAATCTTTTAGTTTATAAAAATTCTGAGTCAAATAAAGACTTTAACTCTAAAATGGTGTTTTGTCTTCTAGAAGCTCATCTTTACTGTTCTTGCTTTTAAGTAAGATAATTGAAATAACTTTTTTCAGTCATTGTAGAATAGTTTTCTCCATTTCTGTTACTGGTTTAAGTTTTATTTCTGATAATTCACAACAATATAGTGATGTCATCCTAATTTTAGCTCACCTAGAAGAGTGATGTTGACTTGTCTGCCGTTTAGCCAGCTTCAGTTTATACGTCTGTGCTCGGGTCCTTCTCCAGGGGTGTTGGCTGTATCTTTTATGAGATGATCACAGGCAGACCTCTTTTCCCTGGGTCTACTGTGGAGGATGAGCTGCACCTCATATTTCGAATCCTCGGTGAGATGACAGCAGCTTCCAGATGAGCGTTTACAGAAATCCTGCTTTCTTGTTTGTGCATCTTTACAATGTTCATTTATTTATTAACAGGTACTCCTACAGAAGAAACTTGGCCTGGTATCACAACCAGCGAAGAGTTTAAATCTTACAACTTCCCCCACTACCAAGCAGAACCTTTTGTCAGCCATGCACCAAGGTGAGCAGAACTGTGTGTGGCACCATGAGTGTCTGTTACAATGATAAGTTAGATAAATAAAAGGTGCTGGGTTGGTTTTTCTGGTGAAACTGTTCTGTACAGCTTGGAAGAGCTCATTAACACTCTCCTCACCCACTTTTCCTCCCGTGCACATTTTGCGCACTTCCTTTCACAGGATAGACAGCGATGGTCTTAACTTACTCTTGATGCTCTTACGGGTAAAGTATATTGCAGTTCAAAGATACGCACGCCCAATGCACACTATTAATAATTAACCTCCCTGCCTTGTGTCTCTAGTTTGAAGCAAAGAAACGAGTATCAGCTGAGGAGGCTCTCAAACACTCCTATTTCAAGAGTCTAGGGCAAGAGGTTCAAACTCTAGCTGACAGTGAGCACACCCGGCTTAAATATTCACCTTATAGCGCAAATGTCTCACCGATTTGGTTTTTCTTATTTATTCACTTGTTTGTTTGTTTTCTAGCTGCTTCAATCTTCTCTGTAAAAGGCATCCAGCTCGTGAGAGATCCAGGGAAAAGATCCTCAATCCACCCAGAGTCCTGTAAGTCCTTCATTATTTAAATGGGAGAAAATGAAGAAATGTAAGAGTCCTTGACATAAATAGGATAGATGATAGGACTTTTCTCTTTTCTTCCTCAGCGGCACTCTTTTCTTTTTAAGTGTTGACTCTATGTTGTGTCACAAAACATGGTCATGTCCCAAAACAGTCTCCCTCTTTTTAAGGTTCATGCAAAGCAAATTCCTAAAGGATCTAAAGCTAAAGCCTTTGTTCTTTAACATGGTATAGAAATTCTTTAAGTGATAGTTCAGATTATTTGGGGCCGATTTCCAAGGAAAGGTTATGAACAATTAGACGGGGTTCCCCTCTCCCATGACCATCGACGTTCCAACCCTTGTCTGTGGTCACAAGGTTTGGGTAGTGACAAAAAGAATGAGATTGTGGATACAAGCGACCACAATGAGTTTTCTTCGCAGGGTGTCCGGGCTCTCCCTTAAGCCCTTTTTACAAAACAATGCCGTCAATTTGCCGCAATGCCGTGGTGGCATCAAGGACCCTTAGGTTGTTTATAAGATCAGACCGTGGCGGTAATGTGGCGCAATCGTGGCAGTTTTATAAAAGATTAGGTGATGGTGGCATAAAGGGGGTATGGGGCGGTCTCTGCGCTGCCGCAGACTTCCGTTTATCTTGGACATAACTTTCTTTTTATTGCGATTAAAGTCGTGATCGTTAAGTTTTTTTAACAAGCAGCTCCTAAAGGTGTCTGTCCCCATCAGTCCCTGTGCAGTCTCTGGTGATCTGAGCTTCAGCTCTAGCAGAGAGGCTCATGGAGCTCTGCGGCACTCCAGTTTGCCATCTCAGCTGATTTGGTTCAAAAAGCAAACCTTATTGCCTGTGTTTACTTTCATTTTCAATAAATTTGCCAGCCGGAGCTCAGCAATAACTCCCCACGTCATCATGACATCTGCCTTTGTTGTGCCAGGGCGCATACGACAGACCATTACCGCAAAAATACTACCAAGTGAGGCGGAACGAATGCCGCTAAATTCGCGCAACGCCATGCCGGCATGGCGCATTTATAGACATACCATTGCGGTAATATTACGACGATTTGCTGGCATGATGTGTCTTGTAGAAAGGGCTTTAGAGATAGGACTTGGAGAGGAGCCAGTTGAGGTGGCTTGGGCATCCAGTTAGGGCCTCCTAGATGTCTCTCTGGTGAGGTTTTCTAGGCACAAACAACCAGGAGGAGACGTAAGAAAGACCCAGGATACACTGGAGAGACTATGTTTCTCAGCTTCCCTGGGAAAGGCTTTGGATTTACCCGGTGGGGCTGGCCCAAGTGGGTGGCGAGAGGGAAGTCTGGGCCTCTCTGCTTAGGGTGCTGCCGCCGTGACCAGACATCGGATAAGCAAACAAAAATGGATTTATGGATGGATAAAAACAAAAACTAAGAATTTTGCAGAAGTTGTCACTGCTGTGACATTGCTCACACTTTAAAACAAATCAAAATGTGTAATTTGTCATCTAAATTTGTCTAATTGAAAGTCAGAAAATTCCTCACAATTGTGCAAAATATGTAGTAAATATATTAAAAGCATGACTGAGTCCAGCTTTGAGAACTTTTGAGCAAGTCTTTCGACACTACTTCTGCAAATATGTTTTTACATTGACTTCCATTTTCTCCAGCCTTACTGTCTTTTAGTCTTTGTGTATACGTATCATTTCTTTTCATTTTTGTCTTTCTGTCTTTTTCAAATAAACCACCTCTTCTATTTAGTGCCCATGCTCCCTTCTTTTACTCAGTTCATCCTTTTTTTCAAATCCTTTCTCTAATCTCCTTTGTCTACTTGCCTTCAACTCCTTCGCAACACCTTGCTATTCCCAACCTTCCTCTTTCCCTGACCCCTAAAAGCGATGGCCCATAAGCTAGGCTCTGCACCCTCGCAGTACTTCCAGAGAGAAGCAGCCAATCCCAGGGCTCAGAGTCACAATCTCTCCTCTACTTCTACTGGCTGAGTGGGTCCTACTGTTCTGGTAAATACTGTCTGCTGTTGAGCTGTTATTCTCTTGTTACTGATAGGCTGATCTTTCTTCTTCTCTGTCAGGTCTTTGTTGAATTCTTTGCATAATCTTTAAATCCACTTAATACCATCACACTTTTTTTTTGTCCATTCTGGGAACTGAAAACATTCACATTTGTCTCTCCTAATGTAACTAGTTTTTCTTTGTTTTTTATTCTAAATCCTTTCCTGTGTCATCGTTCTGCTGCAGCTCGAGCCAGGAAAATCTGTTTTTACCAGAGTAGGACAGTGGTACATTTATTAAAGCAAAAGGTGAAATATCCGTTTTAATTTGCAGTCCTGTTAAGGCTTCTTCAGCGAGAGATGTAGACTTTGCACCAGCTTGTAAGTTTTCTGTGTGGTTTGGATTGGTTTGGTGTGCATTTTATTTGTGTTCAAAGATATGAGTAATTTACTTCTAGTTTTTAGAGGAATGAGCCACAATAATACCAGTGAAGCTATAACAGGGTTTTCTTCTCTGTGATTCAAATAATCATACATTATTCGGCAAAAAGTATCTGTTCACACTGAGGTCCATAAACATTAGTGAGCCTCCAGCCTTACTGGAGATGATGTAATCGTAGAAGAATTCTTATTAATCTTTAGAAAGATGTTGCCCATTAAACAGCAACATTTTAGAGACAAGACAAGTTGGTCAGGTTGTTTATGATTCCAGCCATGTTCTGATAAATCTTTTAGAAATATTAGAGGTTGCACTTAAGCAAATTTATTCTAAGCAATTCCAATTTATAAGTTTAAATGTTTTGAAATGAGCACTTCTAATAACTATATACACCTGGTTCCTAGTTTAAAGGTGCAATTTGTAAGAATTCTACTCTGAAATAATCAAAAAACAATCGAATGTCTCATTCATGTTGGAAGGGGTTGTCGGATTTTCTCCTTTCAAAAAACAAACAAAAGCAGGATGTCGTTACTATTTACACTCTGTGAATTTGTGAGGTTGCCGAATCTACAGAGAGCTAATGCAGCAGCTCAGGTGTTTGTAATTTGACACTGACAGGCAAAAAGCTCCAGAGTTCCAAAGCCAGTAAACAGGAGTGACCCAGAGGTTATTTCTTGTACCCCTAAGAAGCCACAGCATGTTTTTGTTTTACTCTCGTCTGAAGCAGGCTAGAAGCTAATGCTGGGCTTACAATGCTAACAGTGATTTGGAAACAATCAGCACAAAGGCTTTTCTGATACTCAAGGACAGCACACTCTTCTCACTTTTTTGTTTCTCCTCCTGTCCCTCAACCTCCTAACCCTGCTGCTCTGTCCTGTGAGTCTATCTGGAGTACCTCTCAGAAATTTTATCTGGATTTTCTAGTCATCATGGATCTGGTAAGTTGGTCTCTAAATGCAGTAGAAAATATTTTTTTTACACTTTTTGTGCGGCGAAGGGAGAGCCTCCCCTGCCCCGGCAGAAGAAGAAGAAGAAGAAGAAAAGATCATTTCTATAGCGCCTCTCAAGATAAAAATCACGAGGCGCTTCACAAAAACAAAAAATGTAAAATATAAAAAAGAATTTAGAAAATTATTAAAAATATATTAAAAATGAGCAATAAAAAGACTATTGTGATTAAAAAATGTAAAAAGAGAAAGAGATTGAATAGGAAAGAGGGAAATCAGTGGATCCTGAGGAAGGTGGAATAGGTAGGGAGAGCCGAACAAGAAGAGAGTGACGAAGGTCACACCAAAACCAGCTTGAACAAGTGAGTTTCAGCTGCTTTTTAAAGGAGTCCACTGAGTCCACTGATCTCAGGCTCAGGGGGAGAGAGTTCCAGAGTCTGGGGGCCACAGCAGCAAATGATCTGTCACCTTTGGTCTTTAGCCTGGTGCTGCACAACCAGTAGGCTTGGGTCACTGGACCTCAGGGACCTGCTGGGGGTGTAGGGACTGGGAAGATCACCAATGTATGGTGTTGCTTGTCCATGTAAGGCCCTATAGACCAGAACCAGGATCTTGAAATGAACCCTGAAGCTGACCCTGAACACATTTGCCTGGGAATGTAATTGTAATGGATTCCTGGAATGAGTGGACATTTATATGCTGATAGCTGCTGTCCGTGGGACTTTCAGAAGACATTTTTTGGATCCATGATTACCAGGTTTCTGCTGTTTGTAGCTGGTGGATTCCTGTTGTTTCGTAAGTTTCTGGAGCTGAACTTTTTAAGGCTGATCCGTTAGCTGGCTGCGGTTTTGGAATTTGTATGGGACGTGGAAATCAGCTTGGATAAAATGTCAGCTTGGCCTGGTGGACAGTAATTGAATTCCTTAATTCAGCTTTTTGGATGAACTGAGATCACACTAAAGACATCAAGGCACTGGAAGATTTTATCAATGGCCTTTTCCAAAACAAATCTGGCTCCCTCTGTCTTGGCCTTGAGGCTGAAGGCCTTCAAAACTCCCCTGGAGGACTGTCGAGATAGCTGCTTCGACAACCATGAAACTCACAGAGCAGCAGTGAGAAAGTAATACTTTTGCTTAAAAATTGGACTGTAACCGCATTTGACCACAAGATGACTATCTTACAAATTGCACTTTTAATAAACTAACCTAACTCAGTAGGTTGTCAGACACGTAAGTTATTATTTTGCAGAGGAGATACAGATACAAAAACAAACACTTAATATTTCTGTGAAAGATGGTAAAAGATCATAGCTTGTACATCTTTTAACTATACAATGTTGCACTTTAACCTTTCTGCCTTCTTCAGTTACTGAAAATAGAATCTCCACAGCACAGATGTTATAAAAATTAATAATGTATTCAGTAACATCCAGTTAGAAACAACAACAATAAAAAAACACTTAGATCATTGTGAGTGCACTTTGATAACATTACATTGTCCATTTGCATACATTGAGTAAGCAGGACTCAATGCTTTGTAAGTAACTTGTTTGGGGACAATGCCAAGTTTCACAACAAAATATTTTCACAAGTCTGCTTTTTTGGTCAGAGGATAAAATAATATTATTTACTTTAGTAAAATTTTTAAGATACATTTTATAATGCTATTTAAATAATAAATTAATCAATATTTTTGGAGTTAAAAAAACAGCTGTTGTTTCAGCTCTCAGTGTGTCTAGTATTATTTGGCCTTGTGGTGTTTATTTACTAATTTGTTATGAAATGTATTGAGTCATGGTGAATTCATTTGTCTGAGATTGATGATGACTTCCCCTCCCCCCCCCCCCCCCCCCTCTGTTTGTGTGTGTGTGCCTAGCAGCCATGGGGAAGAGCAGGAGGCAGAGTATGTTGTTTTAATGCTGGTGGGGCGATGAGATGACGTGGACAGTGACAACATCAGCGGTCACATCAGACTTACTTTTCTAGACCCTGCCACTAACAAAACTTGAGGAGCGACACACAGCCTGCCACAAAAATCATGCACTCATGCTGGAAGAGAAAAAATATAAAAGGACACACACACACACACACACACACACACACACACACACACACACGCACACAGGACTTAAAACTAGGCCAGTACTCAAGAAAAATGCATAAATATTCAGCTCAACCTTCAAATGTCAAATTGATAAAACGAAGTGATACTGGAAAAAGGGGAATGGGAATTCTCCTTGCTGCTACTACTACCGCTGCTGCCCAGCAGAGGGCAGTGAGAGGATGTGAACTTGCTGTATCATTGAGCTGGAAGGAGAAATGAGTCAAAGGCAGAGTGAGACAGATATGTCCCCTCTTCCTCTCCATTTTTTAGATTATTGCTGTACATAAACTCTGCTTCCTCATAGCACACCTCAGCCCGAATCCAAACTCTTTACAAATTGCACCTCAATTCTTCTACATCCCTTTATGACATGAGCTGTCTCCATCTTTTTCTCTTATTTTCAAACTCTTCCTATCAATCTTTAGCTCCTATCAACATGCTGACTCACGCTGATGGCTCACTTGAAAAAGACGAGTGTGTGTATATAATTGGAGTTTACAGAGATACACCTTTTTGCACCTTATTGCCCAGCAGAGGTCAGGGTGGCTGTCTTTATGTTACAGTCACTCGAGCAGAACAGGATGAAAATTACACAGATGAAGAAGAAACCAACTGATAAACCGAAAACGGTAGACGTATTGCACTACTTCACTACTTCATAATTAAAAACACTGTAATCCTCATAATAAAACTTCATACGCTGCAACGAACACTATTTTAGAGAAGAACAACACTGAGGAGGTAAAGGAAGTGTACAAATACCGCTTGTCCCAAGACACACCCCCTCTTCTTCCTTTGCTTTCGAGGAGTTGTGTCGATTTGTTGCCTGATGTGCAGGTGTTTGTGGTTTATTTGCACCTGATTTGACCTTTTTTACACAATTAGATCATCTTAAATCAAATGTTTATCGTTATTTTTTACCCTTTTACTTTTCTAAGAAAAATCTGTATATGATGACAAATTTGACTTTTGTCAGAGAAACGATAATTCCAGGTTGCTTTTCTCAGTCATAACAGTGGGCGGCAACGTGTTGCACATTCCTCAAGCTCAGGACTTTTTGCTTGTGTCGTTTTGTGGATGCGGTGAAGTGCAAATGTTCCCCAGTAGAGCAAATTTGTATGTAAAGATTTTTCTCAGCATAAACCTGTCAAGTCTTTGAAGTTATCCATTCCCTTTTATTTCCACCGTAATGGTCTGAAACTATCCTACATATGTCTGTTTCCCTGTCATCTGTTTTAGCATGTTTCTGTATTAAACATGGTGAGTTGGTATGTGAAATAGCTGCTGCAGGAAAAGGAATACCTCCTTTAAAATGTGCATGACTTTATAACGTGATTCTTACATCGAACATTATACATTAGCACCTGAAGATGTACCAAAACCAACACAAAGACAACACACTGTAAAGCAGCAGGGCAATGTGACAGAAGCAGCTCTGGAGCCTGATAACAGAACACACAGGACCAAAGTGAGTCCTCCAGGTACCAGGTGTTCAAGCACACAACTTTTTCACAAGTCAATTACCCGAAAACATGTCCTGTGTCTGTGATTATTTTGTCTCGAACGGATTCAGAAAGATTCAAGTGATTTCATGCTTCTCTCATGAAGAAAAAAAACCCCAACGTATTTTCTTAGAGTGTGCAGTATGTAGCATGTATATAGATAATCCCTATGTATATATATGTAAATGTACAGGTTTGATACTGCTATTCATTCTGGACTTTCTTTCCTTCTTCCATTTTTTGCCTTTCTTTAATTAAAATCCTTAAAAAATCATAGCAATATTTCTGTAATCAATAAAAAGCCATGGAAATAGGTTGATTGCAAATGTGTTTATTTAGTACAGAAGGTATGACTGAAGATGCAACTGTGAGACTTGACAACATTGATGGTTGATTTCTTTTTTTTTCCTGTTTAACACAACAGAGCCAATAAAATAAAATAAAAAATCCAAAAACATATGCATGTGTCTGTAAATTTGATCCAGTCAGAAAGGAGTTCTGTGTGGACCCCGCGGCTGAAGTGAAAGGTAACTTTTCTTTTAATTGCAGATCAGGTGATACTTAAAATTCCTGATTTACAGGTAATAATTTTTGGAGAGATTTGATAAAACAGCTTTAATAAGATGAGTGTTTATACTTGTTGACTAAATCCAGCACCACACCCCTGCTGAATGACACTCGGACAAGCTAGTTAGCTGTCATGGTCTGCGTCTGCCCCCTCCTTTTTGTGTCTCCTGATGTATCTCCATCCTCTCTTGTTTCCCTTCTGTGTCTCATAGCGCCCTCATGTGTCTTCTGTTTGTGGGCCTTTTTATCATTCCCTCAGGTCCGGTGTTCATTTAGTTATCCTCTGTCCCTCCAGTTGCAGCTCCAGCCTCCTGTTCCCCAGCCCAGTATATGTGTGTGTGAGTTATTTATGTCTCTGTGTGTGTGTGTGTTAGTCCTTCCCGCAGCCTTTTAGTTTGGATTTGTAGTTTTAGGTTTATCTGTCCTCCTTTGGTTCTGTTTCCCCATTTAGGTAATTATTGTCACCTGCCTTCCCTCCAGCCCTCACTCCACACACCTGCTTCCTGTTCCCTTAATTATTCCTCCCTGTTTATTTAAGCCCTGTCTTGTCTTTGTCTTGTGTCGGTCCATTGTTTGTAGTTCTGTCAGTCTTGTTTCTCTGTGTATAAACCAGAGTTTTTGGATTTCCAGATCTTTATCTGGTTTTTGGATTTTGGCTCACAGCCTTGGATTTACTTTATTTTTGGCTCTCCTTTTAAATAAAGGATTTTACTTAACCTTCATCCCTGCCTCGTGTCATCCTGGGTTCTGCATATTTGGGTCCTCCAACACCATATTGTGACATTAGCTCCCCAATTTTTTAATCAAATAAGGCTTAAGAGAAAAACGTGAGAAAAAAATGCATCAAGGAGTAGTTTTACTGCATTGTATTTATTTAGTAATATGAAGTATCTCTACCCTTGTCTTGTATTTGAGTACAATTAGTTAAGTAGCACCTTTAGTTACTTAATTGACTATCAAGCATCTTTTAACCAGGAATGCAGCTGACACAGACACACATTTAAAGTCTGAGCTTGCTGTGCCTGCTGAAGGTCAAGGGAATCTGCAGTAAATAGTAGTGGAGTAACAGTACGTCCATAGTCCTGGTTCAGTATGTGCCTTGATTTAAATGTCACAGTTTGGTTCAATGTCAATGGATCAAAGTGGGGGAAAAAACGTTTTTTGTGTCAACAGGTAGAGCTTTAATGATATTTAAATTACAACTTTACTTGTGTTGCATTAGAGAGAGATTGAATTGGTTAAAACCAGCAACACCACCTAAGAAATCATAAAACTAGTTTGATGGGTCTACGGTTTAGAAAATACAGAAACCCTTAACAACATAAGCCATTTGCTCCAGAAGACAATTGTGGTGGTTTTATCTTAAAGCTTGTTTCCAATTAAAACTAAAGGAATTATATTCCCTTCACTTGAAATGAGTCTGCATTTCTAAAACAAACTGGAGACGAGGAAAAAACTATAAAAGAGCATCCCACCACCAAGTCACCCATGTAAGTCTGCACACACTGAAAGACCCAAAAAATATATAAAGAAGAAAAGAAAAAGAAAACACAAACAAAACACTCACATCAGAACAGTGGAGTCACAGACATTTCTACGTAGACGCCCTGTATGGACAGGCTGGACGCCATTTTGGATGTGTCACCATCACCCCAGTGCATTTAGTTCTGCCAAGGAAGTTTCTTTCTTTCTTTCTTTCTTTCTTTACAAAATCAGACACATAATGTGGCATGATAATTAAAATATAAATATAATACATATATTGAATTCCATGTCTATGGTTGCGCTCATCCAGGGCCGGCTTTGCCGACAGGCGACACAGGCAGCCGCCTGGGGCGCCATCTGATGGATAGGGCGCAAAATTAAAAAAATAAAATAAAATAAAATAAAGAAAAATAAAATAAAAAAAAGTTTATTAAATTTATGTTTGTAATATGAAATGCACTCTCTACATACTCAAAATTCCCCTCTGAAATGACATGAAATTAAAACATCAATATTTAAATTCTAATGATCTGGCTGCATGACGAGCTCCCGCTTGGGCCACCGCTCCGACGCATTTGACCGTTAAGGGTGCCGTAGATCACGTGCGTGGGTAGCACTGTAGAAGGACATCCTGTTGTCATCGCTTTTCAACTTTTGATATTTTACGATGAAAAGAACACCTAAGCCATCGGGATCAGCATTCCCAAAGCGAAGGAAGGAGGAAGAAAAAAAACGGGCCCAAAGCAGAGGTATGTAGCAGGGCCGTGCAGAGACCTTTGACGGGGCGGGTGCTCAAAGTAAAAAAAGGGGCACTTATAGAGCAATCCAATAAGTTAGAAAATTCAGATAATGAGACCCTTGGGTTCAAACAACATACTAAAAATATATAAATTAGTGTCATTAGTGTTAATGTTAGTTCATAAATAATAGTTTTAGTTTTTAAAGCTGACTTATATCTAGAAATGTTACAACCACATTTTTGCCTCTGATCTGAGTCCAAGTTGTTTGATTTTTGATTATCTTCCAATACTGAGTCCTGTTCTGATACCAGGTGGTGATGCAATGCATTAGAAAAGAAGAAAGAAGTCGTCCTTCTGTCTGTATTTGTCATTTTGTTATTTTAGCCTGAAAAGGTCACTCATTCAGGAAGTACATTTAACAGGAATCAAGATACTTTATTGCTATTACACAGGTGTACAACCAAAGATATGTTGTGCTTACTAAAGACAGCTCTAGTAAGAGGTAGTAAAATAAATGTAAAATAAATGCAACCACAAAGACTTATCCATTGTGATCTACGGCTATGTTAGCTGAGATCTTTTTCCTGTCAGTAGAAAATTCTTGATCCCATTCCATGATCTCACTGAACTTAACACTAAACATGAGAGCTCTGCTACCAACCTAACAACAACACCCTTTACACAAAGACACCATCATACCATGCATGGCAGGAGTCTCAGAGAAACTTAGAAGCATCTTCTCCAAACACAACATCCCGGTAAACTTTAAACCCAACAACACCCTCAGACAGAACCTGGTCCATCCAGAAGACAAAACACCCAAACAGAAGCTCAGTGGGGTCGTTTATGCAGTCCAGTGTAGGAGCACTGTCCAGATGTTTACATTAGAGAAACTAAACAACAATTACACAAGAACATAACACAACACAGGAGAGCCGCCTCTTCAGGTCAACACTCTGCAGTCCACCTTCACCTGAAGGACAAGGGACACACCTTTGAAGATGACAAAGTCCACATTCTGGACAGAGAACATAGATGATTTTACTCTCTCAAATCATCTATCTATGTCAAAACGTGAAAACCCCACTTTAAATAGGGGCGGGGCTTAGATTTCACCTTTCCAGAACCAATAATGCAGCTTTGGTCAAGGTCAAGGTCAATTTTACTCACAGAGCGCATTTACAGCAGCAAAGCTACACCAAAGCGCTGTACAAGGTAAAACAAATCAAGGTACAACAAATCAACAATAAAAACCTAAAATAAGATGAGCACACAACGGTCACAATCTATGATAAAAACTGTTAAAAACTATTAAGATGCTCAAGTCAACCTGCATTAAAAGCCAAATCAAAAAATTGCGTCTTAAGAAGGGATTAACCCTCTGATGCATGAATTATGAAATCTTCAACCATGATTTTTTAACAATTTTTTTCATTCGTCTTTAGGTGTGAATGAAACAAATTTCAACAAATATTTTTTGTAAAATTTTATAATTTACAAATAATTTATTACATGTCCACCTCAGTGGACAGCGTGCATTCTGAGCATGAAATATGTTGGCTTGGCTTACCGAAGTCCAAACGGAGGGGCTCAAATGCAATAAAGTCTTCAACCGCTGTGATTAATAGCAAAAACAAATAAATAACAATTTTGAGTACCTGTCCACTGTAGTGACCATTATGCATCAAAGGGTTAAAAATGCTCTACATTCTGTGTGGTCCTGATGTTGAGAGGTAGCTTGTTCCACAGTTTGGGCCCAACCACAGAGAACGCTCTGTCGCCGCGAGTCTTGTGGCGGGTTTTTGGAACTGTTAAAAGAAACTGAGAGCTGGACCTCATGGTTCTGGCAGGGATGTAAGCGGACAGCAGCTCAGAAATGTAAACTGGGGCCAGGCCATGAAGGGATTTAAAAACAAAAAGTAAAATTTTGAAACGGATCCTGTAAGAGACAGGAAGCCAATGGAGAGAGGGCAGAACCGGGGTTATGTGATCCCACTTGCTGGTTCCAGTCAGCAAGTAAGCCGCTGCATTTTGGACCAGCTGAAGTCGGTGTGGGGAGGACTGGTCCAGGCCAGAATACAGGGAGTTGCAGTAGTCCAATCGGCAAGACACGAACAGGTGGATGACATGTTCGAGGACATTAGCAGGAAGGTATGGCTTCACCTTTGCTATCTGCCTTAAATGATAAAAACCTGATTGGACCGCTGCACTCACCTGTCTGTACAGATTAAAAGATTAAAACACACCAAGGTTTTTAACACAGGGTTTTAGAAAACCAGAACAAGAACCAAGAGGACTAAACGTTGTTTAAAAGATTAGAACTTTTTTTGAATCTCATTCAGTTTCAGTCTAGGTCACACCTTCCTGCATCTAATCAACACGATGACTCACCATCAATAGAGGCTAACGACTCATCAGGAGATGGAGAGGCGGGGTACTCAGAGTAGTTTCTGCTTTTTAAATAACAACAGAGCTACAGCTTATGAGCTTGACTCTCCCATATTCCAGTTAGAACTGACAAAGCTCCTCAGAGGAGAAGTGAAATGTTTTAAAGAAACCAAAGAAGTCCAGTTGTCTTCATCTGAACTCTTTGGACTAATATTCAATAATAAAAAATACATAATAAAGTAATAAAACGTATATAATTATGCTCACATTCACTTTTACCATCTCTTTGTGGGAGGCGGAAAATTTATCAGGTTTAACCCTTTTATGACCATAAATATAACAAGTATTTTTGTGTTTTATGGCTTTAAAATTGTAATAAAAGTGTAAAATGTTTGTAACTCTGCTCCTTTTGTCAGAACAACCTCAGCTTTCAGTGTCTGGTTTGTATTTGTGTTTATGTTTATTAAAGTCTGTAAAACTGCAGCTTAAAGAAGTGGTAATGCCCCCCTCAGAGACTTACTCCACCCACGTATCAATTTTAAAAACTGCAGCATTAGTAGGCGTTGCCTGGAGGACCGAGAGGGCGGAGCCGCGGCAGTGACAAAGACGATGGCTAACTAGACGATGCTAGCTCCCTTCACTCTGAGCAGTTATTAGAAGTGGAGGACGTTTCTCCCCCTCCTTACTCAGACACTCGAGAAGAAAGGGACCAAGTCTATTTGGAGGAGACAAGCGGACCTGAGCCTTATTGTTTTGAGCTTGTGAGTTGCCTGAAACTAGCAGAACTGACCCAACAGAACCAGCTCTCAATGGTAAGTAGCCATTAGCCATAGCATCAGATTAGCTCCACGGCCCTAGAGAGCTAGTATTCAGCATGTTTTAGAGGTTTATCTGCTTCAACACACCTGGTTTTAATCAGCAACAAATAGCTGAGTGCAGAGGTCACCACTGGCCACTAGGGTGTGCTGCGATCAAGCCTCGAGGGTGTGCTGCGATCAAGCCTCGAGGGAAAAAGTTGTATTCACGGACGTGCCGGAAGTCACGTACATGTGACGATCCCTCACTGTACATATGCTGCTTCTCATTTGGGTTACTGCTGCTCAACCATCACACTGCTGTCTATCCATGCTACTGTTCGACTTTTATCTGTAAGTCTTCACCTGCTTGTTAAGCTAATGTATGGTTACATTGTCAGTATACACGCTAAGCCGCGCTGCATTTATTTACCCATTTTGTCGCATTGCTTAGCTTTGGTCTTCAGCCCATGCTGCTGATTCACGCTGCCGTTAGCTTCTGCTCACTCAGCTTTGTATGTCGCCGCAGGGCTCCTTCATCCTTGTCAATAAAACCATTTGACATCGAGGAGTGTATTTCTTCATGAAGGAGCCATGGTGGTCGTCAGATGCTCCGTTCCAGCCTGCACGTTCGGCACCGATGACGTGTCTGAGGCTCTCGCCGTGGCGCTACTGGCAAACCATGGCCTAGCCCATCAGAGCCGGACCGAACCTGCTGCGCCCGTTCGGGCCCCGGACCTGCCTGGCCCTGCGCTGGATCGACCGAGAGTGGATGTCGGCATGTCCATCGAGGAATGGAACGTCTTTACTGAGCAGCTTAACAGCTAATCTAACCTGTTAAAGCAGGAAAACCACTGAAACGTGCTGGATAGCAGCTCTCAAGGAGACTTATGCTCAAGTTAGTCTGCTGCATAGAAAGTTATGAAAATACCCCATGAGAAAATTATTCTGTAATGTGTTCAGCTCACTAAAACTGCCCTGATTTATTTATTTACTGATAACAGCTGCTCTCTTGGTTCTAGGTCCTCTGGTGTCTGCAGCTGGTCTCTGGTGTCGTCAGGATCAGGAGCTTCCGGAAGAATGTGCCTTTCAATGACTCTTTCCCCCTTATTTGTTATATTAATTAAATAAATCTCAATTTATATATTTCCTGTTTTTGTTCATGTCCATAAATACTTAAACATGCTTGAAATTAAAACGAGCTTTTAACAGTGAGGTGCTAGTTTAATTCATCACAATAGAGCTAGTTAAACGTGCAACAATGTGATAATCAATGTAATTTATAAATATCCATTAAAATATCAAAACTGGAATCTAAATGAGATATTTGGCAGCACAAAAAACTTGTCAAACACAATATTTATTATAATAATTGTAGGCAGACAGGAGACAGAGCTGATGGAGGTTCTCAGTCATCGAAGGATGGCTGAAGGCTTTCCAGGAACAGGAGATGTGGTGTTGTCTCTTCTCTCTCTATTCTGCCAGATGAGCTGATAGGTTACAGGTGTGTGAGGACATCCTCATGCTGTCACAACCAGATGACAGGAGTTATCAGGTGATCAGCCAGGCTAATGATGAGATGCAGAAAGAAAACAAATCATGCAGAAAGAAAACTAATCCAGGACAGTGTACAGTAATATTAATATGTGGTGTTGCTCACCTTATGTGCTCTTATAGAGTATTAACGTGTGCCTGCCTCATGGTGTAGAGTCCATATTTTGCTGAGTGTCCTGCAATAATGCAGGTTATTAGTTAATTTACTTTTGATAGCAAAAACAAAATATTTAATGTAAAAGTTATTTACCAGGTGAATCAGCTCACACGTCACCACCAAGTGTCACAGGAGCAGAATCAGTAGCCTCCTTCATGATGTAATCACATACTTATTTAATTGTTAATATCTTAAAAATTCTGAAATGTTTTAATTTTTTTTTACCTTGAACAGTTCACTGAGCTTGCACTGTCACTGAGGTGGAAGCTGGAATCAACAGCAGACACCTCACATCTTGGTCTTTTCAGGGGTGTGGACGCTGCTCTCGGACTTTCTGGAAGATGAATTTCCGTCATGGTCCCTGTGTCACAAGACACACTGCGGCTGTGAGCTCTATTCTGGCTGACTATGTAAAAACAAAGTAGCAGCACATTTATAAATGTTTAAAAGAGCATAAAATCACGTGTAACAATAATCTGTAAAACTAATTAAAACTAGAAGTAAAATGTTTACATAGAAGATTATTAAAAATAATTCACCTTTGCTATGGGTAAGGCTTCACGTCAGCCTGGACAAGTGCATTGTTGCATCTAAATCAGTATGACAGCCAGTGTCTTGGGTAGATTTTGCCTGACAAAAGAAATAGAAATACATTGTTGTTGGGAGTTTATAAAGTCAGATAATATACAAAAGAAACTGTCCTATATAGGCGCTTTATAACATTCCTAGTGTGTGATCGTTGTTATAACGTAAAAGTCAGTCACATATGATGTGGAGAGCCTGAAATGCGACCCCCTGAACAGAATTCCTTACAGAACCGGGTCACAAGCTGGATTTCACGCTGTAATGCTGTCTGTCAACTAGTGCTGCGTTAGTTAGAGACACTGTTGCAGAATTACCGACTGACTAGCTAAAGGAAGTGAACCACGTCTCTCAGACTTTGCATTTAGGTAGGGAATTGTCTTTAGAAGATGTCAAAACTTTTATTTAGGTTACTCACCTCAGACTGGAGCCCGCCATGGTGGGGGAGCAGAGGCGGTGGGCTGCATCTAAATCGCGGAAGAGCCACGGTGGGCACAGCCTCCCTCTTCAAACGGAGACGTGCAGAATCGCAGGTAAAATGCTGGTTGCAAACTACAGCACCAGGCGGGAGCTGAATATTTTCCAGACACCGATTGCGTGCTACCACTGGCGCCTAATTTGTCCAGCGGAAAGGAGTGCAACCCCACAGAGCCACCGCAACCATACTACACTACACCTTCTCACCATACTAACACGATATGGAGCACTAAACCCAAACTACTTTCCTAATTACACTAACAGCCAAAGACCAACTAAACTACAATATCCAACAGCCAAACTAACACTAAATATGTATTTATAACACTAAAAACTATGCTAAAGACTAGGATATGCTAATGCTATATGCTAATGCTGAACTACCGCTAACCGTCCTACACTCACTTGCAAATCCAACTCCCAACTCGCCACAAGGCGTGGCCGAGACGCTCGATGCTTTTATAACTTTGACACAGAGCTGCTACGTAGTACTCTACTTGTTTACGTAGTATCTTACTCTTTAGCCATTGGCTAAAATTTATTCAAAATGAGTCAAATTCTATGTTTTAAGCTGAAGGTGGTGCAATACTGTGGTATTCAGGCAGAATTTTTAATTTTCAAAGAAAATGCACCAAAATGCTAAAATAATGAATACACACATTTAAAACACTATTAGACACTCATTTATACAGTCCATCAGCAAAAAAAAGTTAATTTAGACATTAGTTGCTCTTTAAATGAAAAAAAAAAAACTAATTTGAATTTTCTTTACATTTATTACTAAACAGGAACTTCAAAATGACTTGAGCAAACTATGTCAAAAGAACTATTTAAACTCAGAACTGTGTTGCAAACACTCAGAAAACATTGTGACCCCTGACCTCATGTTAACCAGTTTAATGACTGCAGCCTGTCTGTGACCACAGGTCTACGCTCTGGTCCAGAGAATGGGATACAGTAAAATAAATACTAGGTATCATAAAATAACACTCATGGGCTACTTCACCACTGTAGCTGCATTTCTACCAGCATTATGAAGATCAATAAGCCAGATAAAAGGTCAAATCTAAACATTTCATTACAAAAAGTTAACTAATAAAATTCTGCACTGATAAAATGATATTTTCAGCTAAATAAATATTTATTGTACGTATAAATAATGCTGGAATGAAGCTGAATCATTTAGTAAACAGTGGAGTGTTCAAATAAAAACCAGTGTGACTTTAATCTGTCCCTCCTCATGTCACCATCTACAGAAACAGCCTTCTGGGACACCTGACCAACCAGGTGGATTTTATTTGTGATGTTTCCATAACTTTATAAAAGTTTCTGATGGAGAGGATCAGATCATCTCCTCCTTTCGGTTCTCGCTCTCCTGTCGTGGTTCGCTCCGTTTCTTTCTGTGACGCTGCAAAGCTGGTTTTCTTCTAATAGCGATTTTTGGAGTAACATGAATTACATCATGTAATACCTCGTTGGAAAGCTTGTTTTATGTACTTTTAGAAACTGTTTGAATTATTTTTATTCGATTAGTAATTCAGAAGTTACGACCCGGAGAATCTAGAGTGAGACACATCCGTGATTCTTTGAGTTTCTGCAACACTTCAGGAGAAGTCTCTCTCATGTCCCATTTTCTGTCCCAGACATGCAGCTACCTGACTCTGCTCCACACACACTAACCACGGACTCAAATGCACGTAAACAAAAGCTCTGATATTAAAATCTATCCAGCTGACGTGAAGCAGGCAGAAAAAAAACTTAGTTAGATGAACGCAGACTCCTGTCCGCAGGGAAAACACCGGTCTGTCGTCTCCATGGCTACAAAGTAGAGCGACAGCAAGGACAACCAATCACACGTTAGTATGATGCGGCAGAGCCAATCAGTGAGCTTGTAGGCGGGTCTAAGGGAAAATAGCCTTCAGCTTGAGGTGGCTGCCTCCGCATGGTCCTAGTGCCCGATTTGTATCACAGTATAACAATTTTGTACGGTAAAATCTGACGAACGACCGGAAAAATGGCACTTTGGGCACTTCGGACAAAAGGGGCAGGGTCTCAAGCACCCTCCGCACCCCCCTCTGCACGTGCCTGGTATGTAGACTTTATAAATTTGGCAAAGGAACTTTTTGATTTACAATTTTAGCTAACTGCCTCTCCTGCCACGCACGGTCCACGGACGGACCCTCGCTAGCTGTTTACATTGATCATACGATCAAGTCCAGTGACATTAAAAATAATGAAAAGCATCACTGCACATGACAGAGGAATATTGAATGTGAAAGTGGCACTGTTCTTAATTAATGCATCAGAGGGTTAAGTTGCTTTGTGTGTGTGTGTGTGTGTGTGTGTGTGTGTGTGTGTGTGTGTGTGTGTGTGTGTGTGTGTGTGTGTGTGTTTGTTTATTTTCTCACAGCAGAAGAACCCAACACCAGCGCACTCCAGTGCTCCAGTCCAACAGCCTGAAGAGACATCATCAGCTTCAACAGATGTCTGTGAACATGTATGAGCTGCTGGCCCCATGGATCCTGCTGACTGGTCACAGCAGTTGAACAAAATGGAAAGTAGAACTTTCTTTATGATGACACTGATGTTTGAGTTTTCCTTTTGATTGCACAGTTTAATGCTGCTTTTGATTTTGCACCCCCCCCCCCCCCCCCATGACATTTGCACAACATTTTGAGTTGTTGGTTATTGTAATATTCTCAGGTTACTTATCTTTCAAGCTTACATTTAGTCTTCAGGCTGTTGACTTTAAAGAGCTGCTGTGTGAATATTTAAAATAAAAAAATAGTAACTAAGGAATAACTGTGGAGTTGCTTTTTCCAATGTGTGGTGGGTGGGTGGACTTGGGTTTGGGTGAGAGGCGTGTGGGCACGGGGGGGGCGGGGGGTCTAATGGGCAGTCTCGCCTTGGGCACCAAATTACCTAGAGCCGGCCCTGCGCTCATCCTGCGTTGACTGCGTATATAAATGTCGATGGTTGACTGTCACGCTTTCAAGTGAAGTGCACCTCTCCTCCCTGTCGCTAGAGGGCAGTGTAACAAATCACTGCTCTAAAGCGCTGTTAACGTCGCTCTCCTTTGGCCGCTGCTGAACAACAATCATGGCTGCCTCCTTGAAGAAAGCCGCTCACGACATTAGTACCCGAAAGAGAACCGAAGACGTGCTTCTGGCGGAGGGGATCGACTTCACCTCTCTGCTCCTGTCTCCGGCTGTTCTGGAGGGGCTGTCCGCTGCTGGCTTCCAGAAACCGTCTCCGATCCAGCTCAAAGCGATCCCCCTCGGCCGCTGCGGACTTGGTGGGTCTAGAGATCAGATGCAAAGGCTAGACCACACGTGTGTGTGTCGCTGTAGCTTGTCACGATCAGGTTGTTTGAATTAATTTTCGTTCTGTCAAACAGAAGGTGACCTAAGAGTCACACCTGAAAACTGCAGAAACGCGTGAAATTACTTGTTTATTTAAATCAAAACATAATGTCACAATGGTAGCCTGAAACACTCTGAACCAACTTTAGTGTGGGAATTAACTTAATGTCTGAACTGTACTGTTGAGGCTTTAGTTCCAACTCCCATCTGCTCAGTGTGTACAGAGAACAGTTGGTGTTACTTTGTATTTCGATCAGTGGATTATAGTTTTAGCAGCTTTGCATAAATATTTTCACTCCTCATTTAAATTTTACACCCAAGGGAATAATTCTTAAATGTAATAAAAACGTTATGAGTGAATAATTTCAACAGACGCACATTAATATGAGCCTACGTTTTGGTATTAGTTGCCAAACTTAAAAAAATCCCAATTTTAGGTCACATGATATGAAGCAGCATATTAACTGCCCATTTTGATTGATTGATTTCACCCAATTAATTCAAATCTAAGCTACGATTGTGTGTGTCTGGAGTCTGACTTTTTTAAATTTGCTGTTTCAGATCTGATTGTGCAAGCCAAGTCTGGCACAGGAAAGACATGCGTGTTCTGCACCATTGCCTTGGATTCCCTTGTCCTTGAAAATCCAGCTACTCAGGTGAGTGTTGCATGAGATCAAGAGGGAATTTCAGTTATGCTTCAATTGTAAATTACTTTTTTTGCTAAACTTCAATTTGCCATCATTTGCAGATGATCAGAAACACTCTGGTTTGGAATATCTTAATCTCATGATTAAGATATTTTGAAGTTTTAACACAGACCAGTCTTTCTGCCTCCTGCAGGTCCTTGTTTTGGCCCCTACGCGTGAGATAGCTGTACAGATTCACTCGGTGGTGATGGCCATTGGCTGTGCCATGGAGGGCCTGGAGTGTCATGTTTTTATCGGGGGCCGACCTGTGAGTCAAGACAAAGCCCATCTGAAGAAGTGTCACATTGCTGTGGGCTCTCCCGGTAAGAGGCTGGAGGGATGGAGCTGTATCACCGTGCTGCTCGTTTGTTTGGTCACAACTTTTTTGCTTTGCACGCTCAGGTCGCATCAAGCAGCTCATTGAACTGGGTATGCTGTCTACAGCCAGCATCAGGCTGTTTGTTCTGGACGAGGCTGACAAGCTGCTGGAGGAGGGAAGCTTCCAGGAACAGATTAAGTAATTTGGACTTAGTTTCTTTTTTTATACTGATGTTTAGCACCAGGCTGCAAACAGCTGAGATCCAAACACGGAAGTGATTGTATTTGAGTTTCACCCATCTTTCTGCTGTCTCTCAGCTGGATCTTCTCCTCGCTGCCTGTAAACAAACAGATGCTTGCACTTTCTGCCACCTACCCAGAATCCCTTGCTCAGTACCTCACCCGCTACATGAATGAGCCCACCTTTGTCAGACTGAATCCAAGTGACATGGGCCTGAAAGGTAATGATCTGAAAGCTAAAGGGAAAGCAGTTTTATAGAAGAAATCCACCCATTATGGGTTATTTTACACTGTATAATTTTAATATATTCCTGGTGTCAGGTCTAAAGCAGTATTACAAGCTGGTGCCCTCCCATCCTCTACCTCACAAGATTTTTGAGGAGAAGGTGCTGCATTTATTGGAGCTGTTCAGTAAAATCCCCTTCAACCAAGCCTTAGTGTTTTCAAACCTGCACACAAGGTAACTACAGCTTTAACGGTCTTCTTCCTCGTTACAGATGCTGTTGATTATTACTAAAACAGACTAACAAAAAAACACACATTCAGATTTGTAAGTTAAGATTCATCTCTGAGATGCTTCTGTGCTGGATTTCACCTACAGAGCTCAACACCTGGCTGACATCCTATCCTCCAAAGGTCTACCTGCGGCTTGTATATCAGGTGAGGAGGGTAAACTGTGGTTTCTAAGGAAGGTCGATTAATAGAACAGTTTAATTTGACAAATGGCACTAAAATGAAGAGTAAAGTGTGATTATTTAAGTCATTACAATAATAAAAATCAGAATCAGAATCAGAAAAGGTTTATTGCCATTATCAATGAACAAGCAGTTCACAAACTAGGAACTTGTTTCGGTACTAATGTGCCACATATAACATGAATAATAAATTTCAGAAATAGAATAAAATATAATAAAACTAGCATAAAACATTCAGCTATAAAAAAGGCAGGTAGTGGTAACATGGCCGATAACGTGATGTTGTGTCGAGTACAGAAGACGAGCATGGTTGTGTGATTATAAGCTATTTACAAGTCTAACGGCAGATGGAAAGAAGCTGTTCTTATGGCAGGAGGTTCTGGTCTGGATGGACCGTAACCTCCTGCCTGAGGGAAGCGGCTCAAAAAGTCTGTGTCCCGGGTGAGAAGGGTCAGCTGCAATCCGGCCTGCACGCCTCCGAGTTCTGGAGACGTACAGGTCCTGGAGAGATGGAAGGCTGCAGCCAATCACCTTCTCAGCGGAGCGCACAATGCGCTGCAGTCTGTGTTTGTCCCTCACCGTGGCTCCAGCGTACCACACAGTGATGGAGGAGGTGAGGATGGACTCAATGATGGCCGTGTAAAACTGCACCATCATCTGGCTCGGCAGCTTGGCCTTTTTCAACTGCCGCAGAAAGTACATCCTCTGCTGGGCCTTTTTGATCAGGGAGCTGATGGATGGCTCCCACCTAAGGTCATGTGTGATGGTGGTTCCGAGGAAGCGGAAGGAGTCCACAGTGGTGACGGGGATGTCCGTCAGGACGAGGGGGAGAGATGGGGCTGTGACTTTCCTGAAGTCCACAATCATCTCCACTGTCTTCTGAGCATTGAGCTCCAGGTTGTTGCTGCTGCACCAGTACACCAGCCGTTCCACTTCCCTCCTGTAGGCGGACTCATCACCGTCAGAGATGAGCCCAACGAGGATGGTGTCGTCCGCAAACTTGATCAGTTTAACGGAGTCATGGCTCGAGGTGCAGCAGTTTGTGTACAGGAAGAAGAGCAGAGGAGACAGTACACAGCCCTGTGGGGATCCTGTGCTAATTGTCTGAATGGTGGAGACATTCTTCCCCAGCCGCACGCACTGCCTACGGTCCGTCAGGAAGTCAGTGATCCACCTGCAGGTGGAATTGGGTACGTTAAGCATGGAGAGCTTGTCCTGGAGCAGAGCAGGGAGGATGGTATTGAACGCAGAGCTGAAGTCCACAAACAGGATCCTAGCGTAGGTTCCCGGGGAGTCCAGGTGCTGCAGGATGAAGTGGAGGGCCAGGTTGATGGCGTCGTCTACAGACCTATTAGCTCTGTATGCGAACTGCAGAGGGTCCAGGAGGGGGGAGGTGAAGGACTTGAGATGAGGGAGGACCAGGCGCTCAAAAGACTTCATGACTACAGACGTCAGCGCCACAGGCCTGTAATCATTCAGTCCAGTGATACGGGGTTTCTTAGGGACAGGAACAATGGTGGACAGCTTAAAGCAGGCTGGAACATGGCAGGACTCCAAGGAGATGGTAAAGATGTCAGTGAAGATTGGACACAGTACCTCTGCGCAGTGTCTCAGGGTTGCGGGGGAGACACCGTCCGGGCCCGGGGATTTCCGAGGGTTTTGTTTACGGAAAACCCTGAGCACATCCTTTTCTTTCACTGAGATGGCAATGGAGGGGGAGGGGTGGTCAGCGGGGACTGTACTATTCACAGTGGTGAAGGTGGTGGGGGAGGCATGTGACACCAGAGTGGCTGAAGAAACCTGTGCAGTAGGGGGTGTGGGGGATGGGTGTTGCACTTCAAACCTTGCATAAAAGGAGTTGAGTCGTTCAGCCAGTTGTAGGTCGTCAGCAGCATGTTGGGCTCTGGGCTTGTAATTTGTGATTTGCCTGAGCCCTCTCCAGACAGAGGCGGAGTCATTGTTAGAGAACTGCTCCTTTAGTCGCTTGTTGTACAGAGATCTCGCCTTCTTCAACTCTTTTGAGAACCTGTACTTAGCGCCCTTGTAGCTCTCTCTGTCCTTAGCTCTGTGAGCTGCTTCTTTCTCCCTCCTCAGCTGTCTCAGTTTGGGTGTGAACCAGGGCTTATCGTTGTTAAAAGTGGCCCTGGTTTTAGTTGGAATAATGCTGTCCTCACAGAATTTTATGTATGATGTCACAGTGTCTGTATATTCATCCAAGTTGTCTGTGGCAGATCCAAACACGTTCCAGTCTGTTGTGTCCAGACACACGCGAAGCTCCTCCACAGCCTCGCAGGTCCACTTTTTAGTAGTCCTCACTGCAGGCTTGCAGTGTGCAACACCGCACTTGCAAGTTCAGTTGCTGGTCTGGGCCCTGTTAGATCCCTCTTCAGTCTTAGTAATGCAGAACTGACATGCCTGGTGCTGCAGTCTGCTTCCAGCATGTTTCTTGCATGTTTTAGATCGTGACCAGAGCTGATTTGTTTGATTTAGTGATGAATAACTCCTGTAGACACCAATGAAGGCTGAGGAGACATTTCAGCATTTTTAATACAAAAGTAAGTAACTAAAGTGTTGACATTTTTAAGTATTACAGGGAATTTTGTTTAAATAATGACTAGGTTTTATACAGGACATGAGACCCAGCTGTATCCACATGTTTAGAGTCCTGCAGCTGATGGTGATCTGTGCAGGTGGTCTTAGTCAGGACCAGAGACTGGAGGCGATGTCTAAGCTGAAGCAGTACCAGTGCAGGGTGCTGATCTCCACGGACCTGGTGAGATAAACACTGTGTTGCATTCCAGGCATCTTCTGTGTTTTTTCCACTAATCTTGATCTGTTTCTGTGAATAAATATCATAACTTTGTGTTTTTCCATCTGAGACAGACCTCCAGGGGTATAGATGCAGAGAAAGTCAATCTGGTGGTAAACCTGGACGTCCCTCAGGACTGGGAGACCTACATGCACAGGATTGGACGGGCTGGACGTTTTGGTAGGTCTCAACTAGTCAGAAGGCTACTTAAAGCCTGTCTTTTTATTACAGCCAGTTTTTTGCAAGAAGTGTGAGAGTCTGATGACATTAAAGCAGGAGAAGCTGCATCATTTTTGCAGACTCCATCCTCTGGGTCACAGTTTCTGGGGAGACATGTTTTCTGTTGCAGATTACGGAATAAGAACAAGTTGGAAACATAATTTAGCATTCTAAAATTATTTTTAGAGCATTATTTTGAATTGAATTGAATTATTTGTTTTCAAGTGGATCCTTTTTGTGATTAAATTGTATCTTTAGGCACTCAGGGTCTGGCTGTGACCTACTGTTGCCATGGCGAGGAGGAGAACAAGATGATGGCCATTGCTCAGAAGTGTGGCCTCACCATGTCGGCGCTTCCTTGTGAGTCCTGCTGACACACAGCTTGATTAACATTTCTTCATGATGATCAAATAGTTTGAATCGTGTTTTTTCTGTCACCATAGCCACCTTAGATTCCAGGCTGATGGGTGAGTCATGTGACTGGGATGTGTGCACAGAGGCTTCCACACCAGAGTCTGTGTCACAGCTGTTGTCTAGAACTGAAAAAAAGAAGTGTTCAAAGCCTTCGTCTCATCCCATCAAGGATCAATCTGTAGAGCACAGGAGTCAAAGAAAGGAAGATAAAACACACGCAGCACCCAAAACGGCTCCATGTGGTGGGAAAGATGTAAAACAGACGTCTTCTGCAAGAGAACGTCTGCCACAGAGTCCTCCTCGTGTGACCCCGACTCGAAAAGAGCTCCAAGACGCCTTGCCCAAGATCCCTCCTCTCAGCTCCTTTAAGAGTCACAGACAGAGGTTTGTGACCTTTGAGGAGGCTGAGCAGGACTTCCAGACCTTCATCACCTCGGGTTTGGGGAGAAATGTGGAAATCATTAGAGAGTTCAGAGGGAAAGGATGTGGGGATGAGAATGTACATAAAGAGTACATCACACTCCACGATGACACAAATCAGAGTTTAATACAAAATGTTCAACAGCCGCAGTCGGACCTTTCATCTCAGAGCTCAGAGTCGGATTCCTCCAGCTCTCTTTCCGACATGGAAGATGATCTGAAGCCAGAAGGCTTGAATCAGCAGATGGGTGCGGAGCAAAAAGCAGTTGTTAAACTTGAATCTATGCAACCCCCTCCTGTACCTAGGATATATAACCAGGTAGCTCAACCTGAGAGCAACACATCCATACAAAGCACTGAAACGGGCAGTCGCCAGCATCAACCCAAAAAGATGATAAAGGAGATCCAAAAGGATCCAGAGAAGTTAAAAGAACCACCAAAGAGAGAGAGGGACATAGATGGCTGCATTGAGATGGATGATGATGATGATGAGGAGGAGGAGTGGAGCTCTGAGATATACTGGAGGGCCTGCTACAGAGCCTGGAGTGACTACTACTCCTCTATGTCCCGTTTTCCAGAGCGCGAGTTCCAAAGCCACTACCACGTAGCTCACAGCTGGATGGCAGCTTATCGCATGAATGCGGTCTACATGCAGGAACTCATGAAACCCTGAGCTGTCTGTCATCAGCATTTCCTGTCAGACGTTCAGTAAACCAGAGCTGTTTCCTTCAAACAAGCAGGACTGAATGGTTTACGCTTAAGTTCAGAGAATTCTCTATGAACTTTTACCACACATGGTGTCTCAGTTACGTTTCTAATACAATACAACACATTCTGTTTGTCAAATGTGTCTTCTGTTTTTTTTCCAGGTTTGTTCAAATTACGTTCATGAAGGAATTTGTCATGACTGTTCATGATGATGGTGGTAAAAGTTACAGGACACACACCTGTATCCATCAAGCAAACCTCAGGTGTACACAAGAAGATTAAGATTGTGTCTTCTGCACATGTTCTAATAATGTGTCCTAGGATAATCTGCTCCGCTACATTTTCACTAAATCAGTACCAGGCAGCACAAATGACCAACACTCTTGAATAAATCAGAATAAACAAGGCTGTCTAAGGAGCTTTGAAAGTAAGTAAGTAAGTAAAAGTTTATTTATATAGCGCCTTTCACAGATATAAATCACAAAGCGCTGTACAACATGATAAAGGTCAGGGCAAATACCTCTAACCAATAAAAACATCAGAAAAACAATAGCAGTGTTAAACGTAGAAAATAAAATCAAGAGTAAAAACAAAGTGAAGGTGTGAACCCGAACAAAGCCATCTTTTTGAAACATTTAGGGAGGGAACGCCTGGATGAAAAGGTGAGTTTTTAGATGATTTTTAAAGACCTCTACAGTGTTAGAGAGATGGAGATTAGAAGGTAGACTGTTCCAAAGTCTGGGTGCAATAGTCTGAAAGGCCCTGTCCCCTTTGGTTTTCAGTCTGGTTTGAGGAACAGCCAGGAGGTTTTCAGATGTGGATCTAAGGTTCCGAGCATAGACTGTAATAGACATATTACATATGCTGCATAGACAGCATAGACGGTTCCGAGAGGTGGTGTGTGGGGATAAAAGCTCAGATAGGTAGCTTGGAGCCTGGTTGTTAAGAGCTCTATAGGTCAGGACTAAAACTTTAAACTGAATTCTATATTCTACCGGGAGCCAGTGGAGGGACTGTAAAACTGGAGTGATGTGAGGTCGTCTGCTGGATTTGGTTAGGAGTCTGGCTGCTGCATTTTGGATGGCTTGAAGGCGTGAGAGGGAGGTTTTGCTGAGACCAGTAAAAAGAGTGTTACAGTAGTCTAAGCGTGATGACACAAAGGCATGGATGATTTTTTTCCAGATCTGCAGTCAGGGGCGTAGCACCAAATTCTGGGCCCTAGGTACAAGTCTTCTAGGTGGGCCCCCATGCTCAATTACTTAATATCTCTCTTACACATTTTTTTGTCATGCTATAAGACAAGATAATAAATATGATCTTAGTTTAACCTCTATACTGAGCAAATACAAATGCCAGCATAATAAAAGTGAAATGCCCAGACTTCACATATAATTATTTTTATTTGCCAACAAAAATCCTGGAATTTATTTTCCAGTAAATGCCCACTGACGGGTCTTCATGTTAGCAAATCACTTATGAGATCTTTAAAGTCCAATTCTTTGGCTAATTGGCTTTCAATAGAAAGAAGAGCTAGGCTGTTCAGTCTATCCTGGGACATTGTTGATCTCAAATAATTTTTCACCAGTTTCAGTTTGCAAAAAGCCCGTTCACCCCCAGCAACAGTCACAGGTAGTGTGCAAAATATCCTCAGTCCAATACAAACTTCTCCAAAAATGCTCTGTAATTGCATCCTGTAGATGGCATTAAGCAGCTCAAGAGGAGACTGAATGTGTGGAAATGTGGCACCATATATTGTTCTCAGGTGTAGCATCTCATTCTCAAATTCAGCTGTGAGATCCTTGTAATATTTTCTCATCAGTGCCTGGCATGATATCTTCATCTGCTCTTCAGTCATGTCTGTCATGGTTCATGATGTTAAGCTTTGCTAATACTGATATATATTGATATATTAAATACATATGACATGAAATAAACCAGGTTCTCTCTGTGAATGTAATGCACTCTAAATTTTATAATCCCTGCATTATCAGCCAAATTATAAGATTGTCCGTTTTCAAGATCAAATATAAAGAAATTTAAAATAGGCTTAAAATATCTAACCAAGTCAATAACAATCATCTAACACCAGTGTCATCATGCTATACGAAAAACAGTGGCAGCTTCTCATTCCTGAGATTACCACGAATCCATCGACAGGGGCGTTGGACTGGGGGGGGAAAGGGTACCGTTTACCCAGGGCCCACTGCAGGGAGGGGCCCTGAGACAGCTTTGAATAAAAATGTTTTATTGTTGTTGTTTTTTCCCCCCAACTTACTTAATGTCTTAATAAATTTCCCTTTACCTGGATAAAGAGGTTAAGAAACAGAATTTCGCCTTAAAAATAATAACTGAATAATCTCTGAGGCATCTATCACCCCTTAAAAATGTGCAAAGTGGTTTAGTCCACACCAGCGGCCAGGGGCTGCCCGGCTGCATGTGCTAATGAGACATCGCAGATGCCGACAGCCAGAGCTGGAGGCAGGAGAGTCAGTCATGTCTTTTCCCAAGAAAGGGAAATCTGGCTTCCAGAAAAGAAAAGAAAAGAAGGAGAAGGAGGAAAAGTTAATTGAACAGAAGCAAGTAGAAGGAAGGTGAGCAGCAGCAGCAGAACACAGTTTTAGCTGATATTAGCTAGCTCTCAGAAGCTGCATTCATGTTAGGTGTTCAGTGTTAAACACCTTTAGTTTCACCATCAAGATCAAATATAAATTAATTAGTGTTATCAGTGAAAACACTAATTTTAGGGATAAGCCGGATACTCATTTCAGACGAGTATCCGGTACGGATAACGCATTTTTGACGAATACGAGCATGAAACTAGTAAAACGAGTCATTATCTGTAATCGTGCTGAAGGAAAATCTTCATTGGGTAACTGACTGTCTTCACGCTCTGTGATTGGCCAGTCACATAGAGCGCCCGCCCCTCCCTACTTACAAAACTCTCTAGCCGACCGGGAGCTCAGTCCGGCCGGCTCATCCACGCACACACACAGACAGTAACGGATCGCGCTGTGATGGCTTCACTGTTGCTCACGTTTCTTCAGTTTTCCCTAGGTTTTCTTCAGCTCGCCTCTTTTTCGGTTGAATATTTAAAGTTACTTTTTTCGTAACTGACATGGTGCATTTGACAAGACAGAGCTGGCGTGCTGTTGTCACTACCTCCGCTCCGGTCAGGTTTTTAATTTTTTTTAATCTCTCTCTCTCTCTCTCTCTCTCTCTCTCTCTCTCTCTCTCTCTCTCTCTCTCTCTCTCTCTCTCTCTCTCTCTCTCTCTCTCTCTCTCTCTCTCTCACACACACACTCACACACACACACACACACACACACACACACACACACACACACACACACACACACACACATTAATCAACATTTCTTTGTTAAACTTTGTGTGGGAAAATGCCAAGAACGTTAAGAAAAAAATCAGTTTAATCAAATTAAAATTAAAAAATATATATATAAAGTTGTGTCTGGTTCTAGCATTTCATATTTCCTAGTTCCTACTGCATGGGTTCAGATGTATTAATCCATGCACTCAAATATTAATGTTCTGATTTTATTGAAACACTTTTTCTGTAATAGTTTCTTTACTATTGTGATCAAAAATATTTAATCTCACTTCTGAGGCTGCTCTGTAAATAGTTTTCAAATAAACAATACACATAGCAACTTCTGATCAATCCATATCAATTTCAGACTTAAAATAATACATTGATGTAAACCATGTCCACTTCCGGTTAAACCACGCCCACTTCCGGGTTATGCCACGCCCATTCCGAGTACAGATACAGATAGTGGTGTACTCGCTCATCCCTAATATATATATATATATATATATATATATATATATATATATATATATATATATATATATATATTAAAATCAGAATTATTATCGCGGGCGGCCGCCGCCAATTAATTCGCGGACCTCGCAGTAAAAACAGGTTCACTCTGTGTGGATATTTCAGCTCCTTCCCAGTCATGGACCAGGACAAACTTGGTATCGATGGATTCGTGGTAATCTCAGGAATGAGAAGCTGCCACTGTTTTTCGTATAGCATGACGACACTGGTGTTAGAGGATTGTTATTGACTTGGTTAGATATTTTAAGCCTATTTTAAATTTCTTTATATTTGATCTTGAAAACGGACAATCTTATAATTTGGCTGATAATGCAGGGATTATAAAATTTAGAGTACATTACATTCACAGAGAGAACCTGGTTTATTTCATGTCATATGTATTTAATATATCAATATATATCAGTATTAGCAAAGCTTAACATCATGAACCATGACAGACATGACTGAAGAGCAGATGAAGATATCATGCCAGGCACTGATGAGAAAATATTACAAGGATCTCACAGCTGAATTTGAGAATGAGATGCTACACCTGAGAACAATATATGGTGCCACATTTCCACACATTCGGTCTCCTCTTGAGCTGCTTAATGCCATACAGGATGCAATTACAGAGCATTTTTGGAGAAGTTTGTATTGGACTGAGGATTTTTTGCACACTGCCTGTAACTGTTGCTGGGGGTGAATGGGCTTTTAGCAAACTGAAACTGGTGAAAAATTATTTGAGATCAACAATGTCCCAGGATAGACTGAACAGCCTAGCTCTTCTTTCTATTGAAAGCCAATTAGCCAAAGGATTGGACTTTAAAGATCTCATAAGTGATTTTGCTAACATGAAGACCCGTCAGTGGGCATTTACAGGAAAATAAATTCCAGGATTTTTGTTTGAACACATTGTTGGCAAATAAAAATAATTATATGTGAAGTCTTGGCATTTCACTTTTATTATGCTGGCATTTGTATTTGCTCAATATAGAGGTTAAACTAAGATCATATTTATTATCTTGTCTTATAGCATGACAAAAAATGTGTCAGAGAGATATTAAGTAATTGAGCATGGGGGCCCACCTAGAAGACTTGTACCTAGGGCCCAGAATTTGGTGCTACGCCCCTGTCCATCGATACCAAGTTTGTCCTGGTCCATGACTGGGAAGGAGCTGAAATATCCACACAGAGTGAACCTGTTTTTACTGCGATGTCCGCTAATTAATTGGCGGCGGCCGCCCCCGATAATAATTCTGATTTATATATATATATATATATATATATATATATA